GAAATGTCTTTGCCTGATCCTCACATGTCTCCGCCTGATCCGCTCCCAGGTGTCTCGGAACTGACAGCTGCCGACCATCGGCGGTCGGATCTTCGCGGCGGGGCCGGTCCTTCCGGGCCCGATCCGCGCCGTCTAGAGCTGCCGGAGCCACCGGACGGTCGCCAGCGTCCCGTCCCATACGACGGACCGGCCAGACGGACTCGCGCTAGGTCGCGCTACTTTTTATGACCTACCACGTGAGGAGTCGAGGCAGCCGGAGCGCCTCGTCACTGCGTTTAGTCACAGAGACACTTGGCGCGTTCGGTTTCTGGAGTTCGCTTTTATTGTGTTGTTCGTCGGGCTGTATATTGCTTCTTATTTAAGTGTTGTTGTTGTGTTGTCGTTGTTGCGTTACGGGGCACACTGGGGGGTGGGGTTCTTTTTTTTATTATTGCGTTGACGTTGGGTTGTGTTGTTGGTTAACAGCCGGGCCGGCTGCAAGCTATGTGGGAGGGGGTGATGTAGTGGTGATATGCGCTGGGATTAGGGATCGTATGCCAGCGCGTAATGATTGGCTGTGTATGTGGTGACGCGCGCTGACGGTGGAGGATCAGGGGTCAGCGCGGGGTCGTGGGTTACGGGGTGCTGATTGGCTGTGTGCCGGTGACGCGCTGAGAGGGAGTGATCAGGTGACAGCGCGGTGTGATTGGTGGAGTAGTGTTAACACGCGCTGGGGGAAAACGGATCGTAGAGAGAGTGCGTCGTGATTGGTTCACTAAGGAGCGATGCTCACGTCGACGTACGCATCAGCTCCGTCTCTCGTGAGCAGGGGCTATAAAAGGGGATGCACACAGGCGTGAGGGCAGTGTGTAACCAGCGAAGAATGAAGACGGGGATGAAGACCTAGGGCCCTGCGGTACCTAGTCCCGCTGTCCTAACGGGACCGGGACTCTGTGTAACCCAGAGGCGAGTGTAGTGTGTGTAGCCATAGGCATAAGGTCTACACGAGCCGAATGCATTGTGTGTAGCCAGGGACATAGGGTCTACACGAGTCGAGTGTATTGTGTAGCCAGAGGCATAGGGTCTACACGAGTGAAGGGTATCGTGTGTAGCCAGAGGCCTAGAGTTTACACGAGATTAGTGGAGTGTGAAGTCGGAAGAAAGGAGACCACACGTTGTATTTTGACACGTAAAGATTTAATAAAAAGTGTGTTCCCGTCAAGAAGTTCCTGCCGTCAATTCCCATACTTCACATATGTAAAGTATGAACTTGGCGGGAGACGACTTCGCGGGTTGCACACCTTTTTATTAACGTCAACTTCTCTTTACACGGGTGGCTAAGTACAGCCTGACACACAAGGCTCCCTAACTTCTCCTTACACGGGTGGCTAACTACAGCCTGACACACAGAGCTCCCTAGGCTACACCCTCACGGGCTCTTACGCCCCGTAGCTCTCGGAACCCACCTAACCGGGGTATCCGTCTCGACTCTGGGTCCCACAGCCTCGTCCCACATGGACGTCAGACCACGGGTCCCACAGCCTCGCCTCCGAACCACACAGCGTCCTGGCCCTTATAAGGACCGCGGGACCAGGGGTTTCGGGGCCCTATCTCTTCAGCTTCGTCTTCGATCTTCAACTGGTTATCAACTCCCCGAGTGCTCCCTCGCGTCCTCCTTTATAGCCCTAAATGCGGACCTCGTTGAGAGCACCCACCCCAGTTGGCCAATCACTGCGTACTCCCTACGATCCTCTTTCCCACATGATGTCAGCGCGCACAACCACGCACCTCGCGCCGCCCCGTGATCCATCACCGTCGGCGCGTGTCAACCCCACCCCTCTTGACGTAGCCACGCCCGGCGCGCTCATACGCACGCCGCCCCTTTTGTCAGCACGTACCACCACTACAGATGCACCACCAGCTGTACCCCCTTACTGTGCCAGGCTAGGTGCAGGAGGTCATGTGGCAGACCCAGCAGGTGCCATGGGTTGGCCGACTGAGATGACCGGTAGATGCACCACCAGCTGTACCCCCCTACTGTGCCAGGCTAGGTGCAGGAGATCATGGGGCAGACCCAGCAGGTGCCGTAGGTTGGCCGACTGAGATGACCGATAGATGCACCACCAGCTGTACCCCCCTACTGTGCCAGGCTAGGTGCAGGAGATCATGGGGCAGACCCAGCAGGTGCCGTAGGTTGGCCGACTGAGATGACCGGTAGATGCACCACCAGCTGTAACCCCCTACTGTGCCAGGCTAGGTGCAGGTCACGGGACAGACCCAGCAGGTGCCATGGGTTGCCTGACTGAGATGACGGGTAGAGACGCATCACCACCTCTACCCCCTACTATGCCAACTTGCTGTGTTTTAGCCTCCCGGCGCTCCGCTCATTGTTGTGAGCGTCGCTCCTCTGCCCTCCGTTGTTGCTGGAGGGCGACCGCCCAGCAACAGCAGCAGTGTCCTTCACGAGCCTCCTCCAAAGACAAAGACACATATCCCCAATATAGCCTTAACGGACTATCAGGGGCAAGTGCTGTTTGGTGGGGGCTGGGGATGGGGGGGGGTGTGGGCTGGGGGGGGCGAGCGAGCGAGCGGGAGATCCGCACACAGACTGGCGGGTACGAGAGCGGAGCGATCTTATATTCTTGGTTCTTTCGGTAAAGTCACGTAGATGAGCGGAGTGATGTCACGGACACGGCTGGACACGTGTCGACCCGCACAGCCGGCCCGCCCCTAAACCCCATGATGGGGAGGAGGGCGAGTCGCTGGCCGTCGTGGCGGAGACTCTGGTCGCGCCGTGGCCTGCTTCTGCGGCCGTCTGGAATGCTCTCTCTCTTGCCTTTCCGATTCCAGTGCAAAGACGACTTGACAACACTTGTCTCGAGATGGTTTCGTTATTGAAGGCACGTTCAATCGACATCAGGCGGAGGACCCCACCGCAACAGCCCCGAGTCTCCCGCGCATCTCCCACTTATATACGGACCGAGGCCATGCCCCCCCTCCCCTTCCCGAACCTTCCCGCCGACTCTGCACACTCGCTCCGCCGGCAGACTCCACCTGTCATTACCTCCCGTGGCCACCAGTCCCTTCGCACTGTGGGCTGACTCCCCTGTCATTACCTCCCGTGGCCGCTAGTCCCTTCGCACTGTGGGCTGACTCCACCTGTCATTACCTCCCGTGGCCACCAGTCCCTTCGCACTGTCGGCTGACTCCCCTGTCATTACCTCCCGTGGCCGCTAGTCCCTTCACACTCACAGCTGACTCCCCTGTCATTACCTCCCGTGGCCACCAGTCCCTTCACACTCACAGCTGACTCCCCTGTCATTACCTCCCGTGGCCACCAGTCCCTTCCCACTGCAGGCTGACTCCCCTGTCATTACCTCCCGTGGCCGCTAGTCCCTTCACACTCACAGCTGACTCCCCTGTCATTACCTCCCGTGGCCACCAGTCCCTTCCCACTGCAGGCTGACTCCCCTGTCATTACCTCCCGTGGCCACCAGTCCCTTCGCACTGTGGGCTGATTCCCCTGTCATTACCTCCCGTGGCCACTAGTCCCTTCACACTGTGGGCTGACTCCCCTGTCATTACCTCCCGTGGCCACCAGTCCCTTCGCACTGTGGGCTGACTTCCCTGTCATTACCTCCCGTGGCCACCAGTCCCTTCGCACTGTGGGCTGACTCCCCTGTCATTACCTCCCATGGCCACCAGTCCCTTTGCACTGTGGGCTGACTCCCCTGTCATTACCTCCCGTGGCCGCTAGTCCCTTCGCACTGTCGGCTGACTCCCCTGTCATTATCTCCCATGGCCACCAGTCCCTTCGCACTGGATAAACACCACCAATCACTCCATGTTGTAATGCAGTCAACAAACTTTATTTGGATTGTTCCACACCACCCCATGAATCCACTTCACCGTCTGTCGCCACCTTCGCGTCCGACAGAACAGTTTTGGGGGGCCACAGTAATCGGGTGGGACAGCCACCCGGGCTGACAGCTCTCCCTCCTACAAAAAACAAAATCTTCACTCGCGACATCTTTAGGACGTGACAGCCGCCATCGTCGCCGACGACCGAGAATGAGAATGAGCGGCCTGTGAAGAAGAGTGGCGATGCAATGCGGCCACTGGACATTGAACTCAACACGGCGTATGTCTACTAGCGTGTGTCTACTAGCGTGTGTCTACGTGTGTCTGTGTCTACGTGTGTCTACGTGTGTCTACGTGTGTCTGTGTCTACGTGTGTCTGTGTCTACGTGTGTCTACGTGTCTGTGTGTCTACGTGTGTCTACGTGTGTCTGTGTCTACGTGTGTCTACTAGCGTGTGTCTACGTGTGTCTGTGTCTACGTGTGTCTACGTGTGTCTACGTGTGTCTGTGTGTGTCTACGTGTGTCTACGTGTGTCTACGTGTGTCTGTGTGTGTCTACGTGTGTCTGTGTGTGTCTACGTGTGTCTGTGTCTACGTGTGTCTACGTGTGTCTGTGTCTACGTGTGTCTACGTGTGTCTGCGTGTGTCTGTGTGTGTCTACGTGTGTCTACGTGTGTCTACGTGTGTCTGTGTGTGTCTACGTGTGTCTGTGTCTGTGTGTGTCTACGTGTGTCTGTGTCTACGTGTGTCTATGTGTGTCTGTGTCTACGTGTGTCTACGTGTGTCTGTGTGTCTACGTGTGTCTGTGTGTCTACGTGTGTCTACGTGTGTCTGTGTCTACGTGTGTCTGTGTCTACCTGTGTCTGTGTGTCTACGTGTGTCTGTGTCTACGTGTGTCTATGTGTGTCTACGTGTGTCTGTGTCTACGTGTGTCTACATGTGTCTACGTGTGTCTGTGTCTACATGTGTCTACGTGTGTCTGTGTCTACGTGTGTCTGTGTCTCCGTGTGTCTGTGTCTACGTGTGTCTACGTGTGTCTACGTGTGTCTGTGTCTACGTGTGTCTGTGTCTACGTGTGTCTACGTGTGTCTGTGTGTCTACGTGTGTCTGTGTCTACGTGTGTCTATGTGTGTCTGTGTCTGTGTGTCTGTGTCTGTGTGTCTACCGCGTGTGCCGTGAGCACCGCGGCGCTAGTTGGAGGCGGCGTCTCTGTGGCGAAGCTGCTCTTCGGGGCGGCTCCTGCGGCTGCGCTTGCTGGGGGGCTCCTCCTGGCTGCAGCCCTGGGGAGGGACAGGGGGGGGGGGCACGCACGACGATCAGTGAGAGAACCACAGACTCACCACAGAGACCCACAAACTCACCACACAGAGACCCACAGACTCACCACACAGAGACCCATAGACTCACCACACAGAGACCCACAGACTCACCACACAGAGACCCACAGACTCACCACACAGAGACGCACAGACTCACCACACAGAGACCCACAGACTCACCACACAGAGACCCATAGACTCATCACACAGAGACCCACAGACTCACCACACAGAGACCCACAGACTCACCACACAGAGACGCACAGACTCACCACACAGAGACCCATAGACTCACCACACAGAGACCCACAGACTCACCACACAGAGACCCACAGACTCACCACACAGAGACGCACAGACTCACCACAGAGACCCATAGACTCACCACACAGAGACGCACAGACACACCACACAGAGACGCACAGACTCACCACACAGAGACCCATAGACTCACCACACAGAGACCCACAGACTCACCACACAGAGACCCACAGACTCACCACACAGAGACCCACAGACTCGCCGCACAGAGACCCACAGACTCGCCACACAGAGACGCACAGACTCACCACACAGAGACCCATAGACTCACCACACAGAGACCCACAGACTCACCACACAGAGACCCACAGACTCACCACACAGAGACCCACAGACTCGCCGCACAGAGACCCACAGACTCGCCACACAGAGACCCACAGACTCACCACACAGAGACCCATAGACTCATCACACAGAGACCCACAGACTCACCACATAGAGACCCACAGACTCACCACAGAGACCCACAGACTCGCCACACAGAGACCCACAGACTCGCCACACAGAGACCCATAGACTCACCACACAGAGACCCACAGACTCACCACACAGAGACCCACAGACTCACCACACAGAGACCCACAGACTCACCACACAGAGACCCACAGACTCACCAAACAGAGACCCACAGACTCACCACAGAGACCCACAGACTCGCCACACAGAGACCCATAGACTCACCACACAGAGACCCACAGACTCACCACACAGAGACCCACAGACTCACCACACAGAGACGCACAGACTCACCACACAGAGACCCACAGACTCGCCACACAGAGACCCACAGACTCACCACACAGAGACCCATAGACTCACCACACAGAGACCCACAGACTCACCACACAGAGACCCACAGACTCACCACACAGAGACGCACATACTCACCACACAGAGACGCACAGACTCACCACACAGAGACCCATAGACTCACCACACAGAGACCCATAGACTCATCACACAGAGACCCACAGACTCGCCACACAGAGACTCACAAACTCATCACACAGAAACCCACAGACTCACCACACAGAGACCCACACAGAGACCCATAGACTCACCACACAGAGACGCACAGACTCCATCACACAGAGACCCACAGACTAACCAAACAGCGACCCACAGACTCACCACACAGAGACCCACAAACTCACCACAGAGACACACACGTACACACAAACACACATCCACATGCGCGTACACACACACGCACACACGCACGCACCACGCATGGGGACGGTGCGCTCACCAGCTCAGCCGGCAGTGGAGTGAACTTCCCACTGCTGCTGCCTCTGCTGCTGCTACTGCTGCTGCCGCTGCTGCCGCCGCTGCTGCCGCTGCTGATGGCGCTGCTGATGATGCTGCTGTTGATGCTGCTACTGCCGCTGCTGCTGCCGCTGCTGCTGCCGCTGCCGCTGCCGCTGCCGCTGCCGCTGCCGCTGCCGATGGCGCTGCTGATGATGCTGCTGTTGATGCTGCTATTGCCGCTGCTGCTGCCGCTGCCGCTGCCGCTGCCGCTGCTGCTACTGCTGCTGCTGCCGCTGCTGCTGCCGCTGCTGATGGCGCTGTTGATGATGCTGCTGTTGATGCTGCTACTGCCGCTGGTGCTGCCGCTGCTGCTGCCGCTGCCGCTGCTGATGGCACTGCTGATGGCACTGCCGCTGCTGCTGCTGCCGCTGCTGATGCCGCTGCTGCTGCTGCCACTGCTGATGGCACTGCTGATGGCACTGCTGATGGCACTGCTGCTGCTGCTGCCGCTGCTGCTGCTGCTGCTACTGCTGCTGCCGCTGCCGCTGCCGCTGCCGCTGCTGATGCCGCTGCTGCTGCCGCTGCTGCTGTTGTTGTTGCTGCTGCTGCTGCCGCTGCCGCTGCTGTTGGCGCAGGTCGCGGTGCCGGCATAGAGCCGGGGCGCTAGCGGCGACACCGCCGCCGAGGGGCACAGCCGCGCCACCACGGCGCTCACGTTGTCGGCCGGGCGGCCGAGCCGGTGCCAGCGAGACAGCGCCTCGGCCACCAGCAGCTGTGCCGGCGTGAGGCCTCCAGCACCGCTGATGCTGCTGCTAGCACCACCACCACTGCTAGCACCACCACTGCTAGCACCACCACTGCTAGCACCACCACTGCTAGCACCACCAACGCTAGCACCACCACCACTGCTAGCACCACCACTGCTGGCACCACCACTGCTAGCACCACCACTGCTAGCACCACCACCGCTAGCACCACCACCGCTAGCACCACCACCGCTGCTGGCACCACCACCGCTGGCCTGCAGGACGAGACGTGTGTGTGTGTGTATACGTGAGTGTATGTGTACGTGAGAGTGTGTGTGTGTACGTGAGTGTGTGTGTGTGTACGTGAGTGTGTGTGTATACGTGAGTGTGTGTGTGTACGTGAGTGTGTGTGTGTACGTGAGTGTGTGTGTATACGTGAGTGTGTGTGTGTACGTGAGTGTGTGTGTGTGTACGTGAGTGTGTGTGTGTACGTGAGTGTGTGTGTGTACGTGAGTGTGTGTGTGTACGTGAGTGTGTGTGTGTGTACGTGAGTGTGTGTGTGTACGTGAGTGTGTGTGTGTACGTGAGTGTGTGTGTGTACGTGAGTGTGTGTGTGTACGTGAGTGTGTGTGTGTGTGTACGTGAGTGTGTGTGTGTACGTGACTATAGCGTGTGTGCATATAGACGTGTGTGTATGTAGATGTGTGTATGTAGATGTGTGTGTGTGTAGATGTGTGTGTATGTTGATGTGTGTATGTCGATGTATATTGATGTGTGTGTGTAGATGTGTGTGTGTATGTTGATGTGTGTGTGTAGATGTGTGTGTGTGTAGATGTGTGTGTGTATGTTGATGTGTGTGTGTAGATGTGTGTGTGTAGATGTGTGTGTGTGTAGATGTGTGTGTGTATGATGATGTGTGTGTGTAGACGTGTGTGTGTGTGTGTGTATGTAGACGTGTGTATGTTGATGTATGTATACGTGTGTGTGTGTGTATGTAGATGTGTGTATAGAGTATGTAGATGTGTGTGTGTATGTAGACGTGTGTGTGTATGTTGATGTGTGTATACGTGTGTGTGTGTATGTAGATGTGTGTGTGTATAGTGTATGTATACGTGTGTGTGTATGTAGATGTGTGTGTGTAGATGTGTGTGTGTATGTTGATGTGTGTGTGTAGACGTGTGTGTGTGTGTATGTAGACGTGTGTATGTTGATGTGTGTATGTTGATGTGTGTATACGTGTGTGTGTGTATGTAGATGTGTGTGTGTATAGAGTATGTAGATGTGTGTGTGTATGTAGACGTGTGTGTGTATATTGATGTGTGTGTGTAGATGTGTGTGTGTATAGTGTATGTAGATGTGTGTGTGTGTATGTAGATGTGTGTATGTAGATGTGTGTATGTAGACGTGTGTGTGTGTATGTTGATGTGTGTATACGTGTGTGTGTGTATGTAGATGTGTGTGTGTATAGTGTATGTATACGTGTGTGTGTATGTAGATGTGTGTGTGTAGATGTGTGTGTGTATGTTGATGTGTGTGTGTAGACGTGTGTGTGTGTGTATGTAGACGTGTGTATGTTGATGTGTGTATGTTGATGTGTGTATACGTGTGTGTGTGTATGTAGATGTGTGTGTATAGAGTATGTAGATGTGTGTGCGTATGTAGACGTGTGTGTGTATATTGATGTGTGTGTGTAGATGTGTGTGTGTATAGTGTATGTAGATGTGTGTGTGTGTATGTAGATGTGTGTATGTAGATGTGTGTATGTAGACGTGTGTGTGTGTATGTTGATGTGTGTATACGTGTGTGTGTGTATGTAGATGTGTGTGTGTATAGTGTATGTAGATGTGTGTGTGTAGACGTGTGTGTGTATGTTGATGTGTGTATACGTGTGTGTGTGTATGTAGATGTGTGTGTATAGTGTATGTATACGTGTGTGTGTGTGTATGTAGATGTGTGTATGTAGACGTGTGTGTGTGTCGACGTGTGTGTGTGTAGACGTGTGTGTGTATGTTGATGTATGTATACGTGTGTGTGTATGTAGATGTGTGTGTATAGTATGTGTAGACGTGTGTGTGTATAGTGTATGTAGACGTGTGTGTGTAGACGTAGGTGTGTGTATAGTGTATGTAGACGTGTGTGTGTAGACGTGTGTATGTGTGTGTCGACCTGCTCGTCAGCTCGTTGGCAGAGCCGCACGGCCTCCGTGGGCATTAAGACGTCCCAGACGCCGTCGGTGGCCAGCACGAGGTGGCGGTGGCGCTGCGGCTCCAGCCGGTAGGCGCTCACGTCCGGCTCGGGGGACACCACGAACTGGCACCTCGCTGCCTCGTAGCTCCAGAGGTCCCCTGTGCACACACACACGTGTACGCACACACACACATGTACACACACACATGTACACACACACGTGTACACACACACATGTACACACACCACAAACTGGCGCCTCGCAGCCTCGTAGCTCCAGAGGCCCCTGTGGGATATCGCCAACACACACACATGTACACACACACACACATGTACACACACACACACATGTACACACACACACGTAAACATTTAGGCTGGCCTGCCTACGATCCATCTTGGGTTTAACAAGGCTGGATTGTGTTAGAAGCTCACAAATCCTTGAAAGATCTGGGCAAAGTCCCATCGGTGAGCTCCTCCGGCAGGCAAGGCTGCGTTGGGCTAGAGAAGAGATGAAGTGATGTGGTACAGGAGGACGTGGAGCTGAGTGGACTTGCCGATGACCGGTACCAGCGGTGTCAAGATCGGCCTCTGTGGAACAGGCTCGAGAAGGACGCTACTGGGCAGTTGGAGGCAGTCGCCCTCCAACAACAACGGAGGACGGAGGAGCGACGCGCACAACAACGAGCGGAGCGCCGGGTGGCTAAAGCACAGCAAGTTGGTTCAGTAGGGGGCACAGGTGGTGCATCAGCCAGTCATCTCGGTCATCTCGGTCAGTCGACCCGTGGCACCTGGGTCTGTCCCGTGACCTCCTGCCAGCGGGCGTTCGACACTTCACGTGGCCTCAAGGTGCACTTGGCCTGGCACAAGCGTCGTGGTGACGTCACCGCCACTTAGTGGCGAATGGCGGTTGTTGTTGTTGTTGTGTGTGTAGGTGTGTGTGTAGGTGTGTGTGTAGGTATGTGTAGGTGTGTGTGTGTAAGTGTGTGTAGGTGTAGGTGTGTGTGTAAGTGTGTCTGTAGGTGTGTGTGTAGGTGTGTGTGTGTAGGTGTGTGTGTGTAAGTGTGTAGGTGTGTAGGTGTAAGTGTGTGTGTGTGTGTAGGTGTGTGTGTGTAGGTGGGGAGCGGTAGTGTAGCGGTTAGCGCGCTGCGCTATGAACTTGGCGACCCGGGTTCGATTCCCGCTCACGGTTAACACCAGTGACGATTATCTGAACCGGTCCTGGGCCTCCCCTAGGTCGACTCAGCCTTAAATGAGTACCTGGTGCGGTGTGTAAACATCGCCACTAGGGAGACAAGGCGGTCGGGCGTGGTGCTGGCCACCCACCCCCTCGTGTACCGTTCCGGCCTTCATAGGTGCTCGCTAACAGCACTTGCCCCTACAGTCTGTTCAGGCTATACGGGGAATCTTTGTCTTTTGTGTAGGTGTGTGTGTGTAGGTGTGTGTGTAGGTGTAAGTAGGTGTAGGTGTGTAGGTGTAAGTGTGTGTGTGTGTAGGTGTGTTTAGGTGTGTGTGTAAGTGTGTGTGTGTAGGTGTGTGTGTGTAGGTGTGTGTGTGTAAGTGTGTGTAGGTGTGTGTGTGTAAGTGTGTGTGTGTAGGTGTAGGTGTGTGTGTAGGTGTGTGTGTAAGTGTGTAGGTGTGTGTAGGTGTGTAAGTGTATAAGTGTGTAAGTGTATAAGTGTGTAGGTGTGTGTAGGTGTGTAAGTGTATAAGTGTGTGTGTGTAAGTGTGTGTAGGTGTGTGTGGTAAGTGTGTGTGTGTAGGTGTAGGTGTGTGTGTAGGTGTGTGTGTAAGTGTGTAGGTGTGTGTAGGTGTGTGTGTGTAGGTGTGTGTGTAGGTGTGTGTGTAGGTGTGTGTGTGTAGGTGTGTGTGTGTAGGTGTGTGTGTGTAAGTGTGTAGGTGTAAGTGTGTGTGTGTGTAGGTGTGTGTAGGTGTGTGTGTGTAGGTGTGTGTGTAGGTGTGTGTGTAAGTGTGTGTGTGTGTAGGTGTGTGTGTGTAGGTGTGTATGTAAGTGTGTGTGTGTAGGTGTGTGTAGGTGTGTAGGTGTGTGTGTGTGTAAGTGTGTAGGTGTGTGTGTGTGTAGGTGTGTGTGTGTAGGTGTGTATGTAAGTGTGTGTGTGTAGGTGTGTGTAGGTGTGTAGGTGTGTGTGTGTGTAAGTGTGTAGGTGTGTGTGTGTGTAGGTGTGTGTGTGTGTGGGGAGCGGTAGTGTAGCGGTTAGCGCGCTGCGCTATGAACCTGGCGACCCGGGTTCGATTCCCGCTCACGGCTAACACCAGTGACGATTATCTGAACCGGTCCTGGGCCTCCCCTAGGTCGACTCAGCCTTAAATGAGTACCTGGTGCGGTGTGTAAACATCGCCACTAGGGAGACAAAGGCGGTCGGGCGTGGTGCTGGCCACCCACCCCCTCGTGTACCGTTCCGGTCTTCATAGGTGCTCGCTAACAGCACTTGCCCCTACAGTCTGTTCAGGCTATACGGGGGATCTTTTGTGTGTGTGAGTACCGAGGGAGCGTGACACGGCCAGGCATGGGATGTACTCCGTGTTGGCGCTCTGCTGCTCAGCGCCGCCGTGAGCCACTCGCCTCCTCCTCCAGGCCACACGGCAAGGCCCCCCTGGCTTACTCATCACCCTGGCGGGCAGACACACAAAGACAAAGATCCCCCGTGTAGCCTTAACAGACTGTAGGGGCAAGTGCTGTTAGCGAGCACCTATGAAGGCCGGAACGGCACACGAGGGGGTGGGTGGCCAGCACCACGCCTGGCCGCCTTTGTCTCCCTAGTGGCGATGTTTACACACCGCACCGGGTAGTTGTTGAGGCTGGGTCGACCTAGGGGAGGCCCTGGACACGGTTCAGATAA